GTTTTGGTACCACCATCCATATTCAGTACAGAGACAAATAGGGAATCTCTGTAAGTGATGAAGAAATATTTTTGGAATTTGGTCATCTGACAACCAATTTAATTACCATAAACATCTGAAAGTCTCATCAGGTTACTATTCTAGTTGTAGATGAAATATCCTGTTTTCGTACCATCGCCAATACATGTTGAAATTGCATTTATTTTTGCATCGATCAAGATGTAGGTGATGTAGAGCATGATCATCTAAAATGTCATTTCCCTGAATCTAATGCGCAGACTGTTTTAACTGCTAAGTGAAAAATAATTTTTTCTCATGCTGAGAGAAGCTATTATAGGGCACAACTTTTGGACACCAAGTATACTCTGTCATTTTGTGTAATCATTTCTTCTCAATAAAGTTTAGAAGAGGGGATGCAGGTCGTCAAAGTATTTACTCAATTTTCCCCATATCTGGCTAAAGCGCTTCGCTTCGCTTCGTTAGATATCTGCGTCGGTGATTTCTAAGTGGAGTTTAAATGAGTTACCATGTTGAAATTTCCGGTACTCTCCGACCTGAAGCGATTCCTTCTGTGACGTCCTTAGCAAGATGATTGAAGGTGAGCTCCACTAAATTACTTTTCTTGTTGATTCTGGTATCAAAATCCATTCAACTTGGGTGAAGGGAAACCCCTCTTAAAGCCGATAAGAAATATCCAGGAAATCAGTTTAGTTGAATAAAATGTGTTGTGGTCTTGGGCTGTGATATGGCGGGGAGGGGTATTAGACATAGTTAGATCATGATTCAGGATAGTTGGGTTTTGTTTTCCTTATCATTGGTGTACTCTTAGATGTTTCTCTTTTCTTGCTGTGTTCTAAAATAATGTTTGGTTCTATCCCTTTGACACGTGTGCATACGTATTAAAGTTTTGAAATGTTTATCAAATGTTAAATTTTGATAAACTAAATAGCCAAGCAATTCTCAATTTCTTTGAACATTTTTGAGCATGCACATCAATTGCGTAGCGCCATATACGCATAGAACGCCATGGCGTATACTCTCAAAAGAAAGTTGATGTTCTATATTGAATCGCCCCAATCTTTAAGTCAAAAATGCCCAATAATATACATTTTATTAGTAAGAATTTCGTATTTTATAACGCTCTAGAACGCTTCGAATGCAGTCTCAATTTTTAAATTTACTTGCGGAGAACCTCACCCCCTAATGCCCCTCAAAACTTGTTCGCTTCGCTCACTCTTGGCGTTCACTCACAAAATATCCACGCTTCACCATTGTGCATTGTATATGGCATTTGAATAACTCACAATCTCAATGACAGATCTTGAGAAGACATCTTCGTAAAACAATACATCAACTACGATTAAGCGATTCTTCAAATAATTTTGACGAATCAAATGTTTTTTAGCACCAGTATTTGCTTATTGCCCTCTAGAAACTTGTAAAGCAGATGCAGGCCTGAGGGGCGTAGCCTTTTAGTAAGGCAGTTGACTTGCCTGCATCATGGCTGGCTAAGCCCACGAGGTTGCAGTTAATCACCTCTGCCGAGGCTCCTTCGTAAAAAGCAGATAGCCGTCGATGCATAGACTGCTAGCGAAAGTCCATTGTAAAGCCCCAGAAATCAGACTAAATGGTGCTACAAGTAGACTAAGTGAAGTTTCAGTACTGATGAAGTAGCTCGATATCCAGTTTAATGTGCACTTACTGTTTATTTCTCTCAAGTAACTACTGAATGTGATTTATCGTCGACGGAATATATTTTGATTTGTTAATTAATATATCCCTCGTTCCTGGACTGCATTGTGCATTATCATTCCGCCGAGGTGTTGTTTTTTGCAAGAGATTTGCAGAATCCAAAGTGCTAGGTTTATGAATCAAAGGCCCGTAGCCAGGGGGGCTTGGCCAAAGATTCTTTCAAAATCTTTTGAGCTCCATTTTGAGTGATTTTAGCCATATTTGGGCCAAAATTGTCAAATGTGAACCCCCCTAGAAATTCTTGAAAACTGACCCCCCCCCCCTTGGCAAATCCTGGCTACGGGCCTGGGAGACGACGCCTGATTGGAATGAATAAGCGACAATTCATTGAGTCTTGGACTTAAATTATCTTCACACATTAAAAAATATTTTCTACGAAGTAACCTGAAATACTAAATTAAGATGATTTTTTGAAAGGGTCAAGTTGGCAAAGTATCGTTTCAATCTAAAGAGTCAAGTTGTCAACCAAGGAGGATTGGCTCCCAGAATGCAACAGTAATATTCTGTCCCATATATGGTATGGTGACCTGTCACGTGTAAATAAGGTTAAATGTCAGCATACATGGGACAGAATATCGATGTTGCATTTTGGGAGCCAATCCTCCTTGGTTGTCAACCATTCAACAAATGACCTTGGGTGGTTTGTCGGTTATATAATGCAGTGCAGTTATATGAAATACATACTGTGTTCGGATTGGCTTTGAATCGGACCCTGCCTAGCTATGTGTGAATAGATAAACGTTGAATCAAAATTACAAAATACATATGAACTGATCATGAAAAGGGGAATCAAGTGTGGCAAAAAGTGACAAAGATTTTACAAACCACTTCCCGTGATCATGATCCTTCTTAAAGATTCTGACTTGTATTGAGAGATAGGTGATTAGCCTAAGGAAGTATCCAAGATACTATTAATTAATATTACAAAGAAATGGATTCAAGGTTAATACGCTATTCATCATTAGTGTCATTTAAAGGTCGCTGTGCTTTTATGGGATTACAAGTAAACAATATCTAATTAAAGATATTAATGCCCGTTTTACGAGAAATCATACATTACATCGTCTCATAGATGTCCCCAGGGTTTTTCCATATTTGAAAAAAATATTACATGGGAAATGGTAATCAACAATTTTGCTTTTTAGACTTTAGCACTGGTGTCATGGTAAAATGGACACTCGTATCTTTATGCCAGAGTCACTTCTAAATATAATATTACAAGAAGCGCATGTTGCCCGATTTTTATTTTCCTTGTAGGCATCCCCTAGATCATGGACAACTATAAAACAACTGCATCTGCGTCTCCTTGACTACGTACTATATCTTCATAACTGTTCTTAAAAACACAGCTCTTGGCTGTAAACATTATTTTTGTTGTATTAACCTTTCGATTGCCCATTATGTCTATTTTATAAATACAATGTGACTATCCAGGCCAAGTATATCGCGAGTAAGTTCCCGATGGCATCGCGAGCTAGGTTCCGCTGACATTGCAAGCATTGGGCTCATGCTAGAAGCGGGGCCTTGAGAATTATGATAAAATATAGTTATACAATTGAAGAACGTCGTTACCCTGCAATTGAAATAACCATTGTTCTACGAAATAAAGTTGGAATGAGTTTCACTTACTAATGTTTCATCGAAAGTTCTATGTTTCAATTTTATCATATCTCTCAAGGCCCGCTTCTTATATGAGCTCATTGCTTGCGATGTCAGCGGGGCCTGGATAGTCACCGTGAAATTGCTTCCAGTCTTTTCTAAATGAAAGACAAGACAGGTAGAAGTAATATATCAATATGGAGCCTGGAATTGGTGTTACTGTGTCGTATTTAAGTTTTTTCAATTTCTTTTTTAAGAGTACAGTTTCCATCAAGGACGAACGTAATACACGGAACGTGCCTCGTTCGCAATTTCAATGTATTCTGCGTTCGGCCTTTTACCTTATACTGTTCTATCAACCAATGAAATAGAGGGGTGCATGAACTTTGAATTTATTCTGACAGTGTGTGTTACCCTCCTTTGGACATGAAGTCATGGTCACTCATCTTCCGATCTGAAATTATGAAATTGATTGAGGGTAACTAAAATGACCATGTACTCTGTTGCAATTTTAGAAATTGCAGAATTACTGTGTTTTGATTGGCTAGAATGTTATAGATGGCGCCTAGCTAATTAATGAATCGATTATGAGCAAGGACGTCTATCTCAGAGATAGACGTCCTTGTTATGAGTAAGAAGAGATTTAAATCCTAGCAATCCCTCAATCGTATGTTAAATGCTGAGAGGGAATTCCCTTCTCGCGACACAGCTTCGTCACGTGACTTGAACCAAAGCAGCCAATCAGAGTTAGAACGGGGTTTTGATATCTTTGAGTCAATATTGTAGTCTAAGAAACCTTTTCATCGCAAACAATTGCCAGTGTTTAATAGAGTCTTGTCAAGTTAGCCATTACAAAATAATGATACGGTGATCACACAGATTTTGAGGAGCCCGGAGAGAGCTACCACAGTGAAGCTACCTGTTTCATACCAAACACGAGATGGCGCAATGCAATGCTTGGCCAGAAAAAGGAAAAAACGTTTTTATATAGGAAACCAAATTACCAGCTCCGATCTGTATTCTTTAAGAATTTCCGACCGTCCAGAATTTAGAACAACTAATAATTTAAAATATCAAGGGGAATACTTAAATTGTGTTCCTTTCAGACCTTGCACCGTCTCTTGACTGTTCCCAACGGAGAAGTTAGTGAAAGGTTGATATATTTACAGAAAAGGGTTTGTATAAAACGGCATTGATGTTTCAAGTTATATTGTTATAGGGTCCTTTATTAAGAATAGGATTCAAGGTTAAAGGGATTGTCTTTTGCTAATTTGGTTTGATATGTGTGTTAATGAACTCTTTATCATTTTTTGTACGATAACTTACTGGACTAATTCTTGTGGTAAACATACACAGACTTTAGACAAATATATTTGTATTTACATAAGATAATGAAATAACCATCTTTAGGACACTCGTCTAGCATGCATTGTAATTTATAGCAGTTTACTGCGCGTAGGTCCTTTATTTCCCAATTCTATTTGTTTCACATAAGAAAAGAAAGTTATGTCAAACGCTTTTTGATAACACCGGCAAATGTTTGATTCTGTTTTATCGGAAAGCGTACAACGAACAATGAGGTGATTTGCCCATATCTAACGTCTGTAAATTTCAAAAAATCACTACCAAAAAAAGACTAGCGAGAATTGATATGAGTTTAGAAACTTAATTATTTGAAATGTCCTCAATGTTTTTTGTTTTCAGAGTTCCTTTTTCCGAGGATGTGTCCACCAATCTCGTCAAGGCTTCTTTCTAAATTACGTCTGCCCAGGATATTGCTTCCTATTTCGTCTAACTGTCGTCTACCCAAAATATTACTTCCAATTTCGTCAAGATTTCTTCTTCCTAGTATATTGCTACCAATTTCGTCCAATTGTCTTCGTCCAAGGATGTTGCCACCGATTTCGTCCAAATTTCGTCTACCCAAAATATTGCTACCAATTTCGTCCAATTGTCTTCGTCCAAGGATGTTGCCACCAATTTCGTCCAAATTCCGTTCACCCAAAATATGGCCACCAATTTCGTCTAGATTGCGTCTACCCAAAATGTTGCCACCGATTTCGTCCAAATTCCGTTCACCCAAAATATGGCCACCAATTTCGTCTAAATTGCGTCTACCCAAAATGTTGCCACCGATTTCGTCCAAATTCCGTTCACCCAAAATATGGCCACCAATTTCGTCTAAATTGCGTCTACCCAAAATGTTGCCCCCAATTTCATCCAAATTGCGTTCCCCCAAAATATGGCCACCAATTTCGTCCAAATTCCGTTCACCCAAAATATGGCCACCAATTTCGTCCAAATATCTTCTACCTAAAATATTGCTTCCGATTTCATCAAGCTGACGCTCGTGTTTGTCACTCTTTTTAATAAGTCCCATACCGATGCTATCTATAGGCCTTTTCTTGATTAAGCCCATGCCAATACTGTCCAAAGGTCTCTTCTTGATAAGTCCCATTCCGATACTGTCCATGGGCCTTTTCTTAATGAGGCCCATTCCGATACTGTCCATGGGCCTTTTCTTAATGAGGCCCATTCCGATGCTATCCATTGGCCTTTTCTTAATGAGGCCCATTCCGATGCTGTCCATTGGCCTTTTCTTAATGAGGCCCATTCCGATACTGTCCATGGGCCTTTTTTTAATTAGTCCCATTCCGATGCTATCCATTGGCCTTTTCTTAATAAGTCCCATTCCGATACTGTCCATTGGCCTTTTCTTAATGAGGCCCATTCCGATACTGTCCAAAGGTCTCTTCTTAATGAGCCCCATTCCGATACTGTCCATAGGTTTTTTCTTTATAAGGCCCATTCCTATTGAGTCAAGTCCTCTTTTAGCAGCACTTTCTTTTGCATCACCCGAACTGGAAAAGAAATAAAAACAACATATTCAATGATACTCCACGAGATACTACTAGAGTAGTTATTTGATCAATAGCAAACATTTTCACATTGTTTTACGTTGGAATGGTGAATTATCAAAAACGAGACCTACTTGTTCATACGTGCTTTTCAAAAACATGTTTTATGCAGACAAAAATCATCTTTAAAAGGTGACAAAATATTGAGACTTGTTCAAAATTCAAAGTATAAATATCATAAGAGTTTGTGTAGCTTGGCCTTGACCAACCATTGGCCATTGAGCTGCTTGAGACCAATTTCACTTTAAGAGATCATGGTGTAAACCATATTATCATTAATATAGAAACAATAATTGAAAATGGCAACTCAATAGCTGTATCAATCAGAGCTGCAATCAAAATAAATTTCAAAATTCTCAACGCCAAATAAAGATATCATGCGAATACCAAGACGAATCCCGAACAAACGACACATTTTACTACTTTTGATTTATAAGGAGCATGCAGTGCAACATACGAGTATCAATTTCTACATTGATCCATGAATTCGAAATGTTGTTATTATCGGAAAGTGCTTTACATAACTAGTTAGTGGTATCTAGGAAAATTCAAGCATATCCTTGATATAACTTATGAGGTATTAGTCTATGTATATTAATCACACCTTGGCATTATAAACGCCGTGAACAGTCATGATTTCTGTAACATTCTTCGATATATATTGTAGTTTGTAGTAATCAATTGTATGTAATAACCGAACTCCTACTACATTCAGGCCTATAGTCAGGGGGAGGGGGGGGGGGTCACACAGTTTTCACCATTTCGAGCACTTTTCAAATCCCCTTGGTTTTTCAAAAAGTGAAACCCCGGCCCACCTTAGCTGGCCAATAGCCTGACATTCGTAGAACTAGGGGAAATCATTATGATTTAACAGTTAATATAAACGTTATGATGGAGAAATCTTATACGAAAATTCTTTATATTTTAAGACAAGGACCTGTTATAGGTTATGGTTAAAGCCGTATCATTACTTTGGATGGTGATTAAACTGTTTAAAGCTCATAAGTCATATTAATGAAGCCATTAGCGACACATTGGCTAATTCAATCAGGTATCTTGTACAGGTGCAAACGTTTCTTCTAAATATTGCGCTCGTTTTGATGTATGCCAATATTTACAATGAATCTAGACACGTTTTCAAGTTTTTTCTTAAAACAAATCTTCCAGTAAATATGCAATTTTCGATCTTTTGATTGATATTCAAATGACATTCGCATCATCTTGAAACAAAATTCTGAGGAATAAATAGATATGAGCAGGACTATGTTTGCAGCCGATATTGTGTTTGTACAGGGTGTCCAAAAGACAGGACCGTAAGAAAGTTGAATTACTCGGTCAATTTTGCATATTTTGCCTTGAAAGGAGTTGGGTAAACTAGCAACAGAGAGTGCCCCAATTGAAGTGTGAAAAAACTTTTTTTAAGAATAGGAGAAAAAAACATCAGAAATGCATAGATTGAATATATTATTGGGTAGTATTTTTTAAAAAATTTAGAAAAAATTGTTACGGTGTCTGGAGACCTTCAAAGAGGGTGGGGGCCAGAAGGAAAAAAATTCACATATTTTGCAACCCTCTTGATGAATTCCAATTTACTCAGCTATGAATGAATGTTTTTGATTTATCTGTCCAGGATTATGTAAATATATATTTATTTGATCCATACATACAATTGATTTAAACAATATGTACAGTTTAGAGGTAAGTAAAGCTTTGAAAGGACATTTCATGCTGAGTCTGGGTGACATTTTTATTCACTGGAGGTAGTAATCCTTTGAGTGTTTTCACATAGAGCATAACAAGTCTCCACTCTAATAAGTGCTTCTTTAGTTACATAAATGTTATATTGTTGCATACAAAGAATAATTTTGATGGAGACTTATTATGCTCGATGTGAATTTTAGAACTTTATAGAATATTTTGCCAGCCATTTTTGTTGATTATTCAAAATGGCCAAATGCTATTCATGCTGCATATGTAGGAAGCAAGGGCATTATAAAATTTTAGATGCTAAAATACCTGAAACATCAAGTGGTTATATGTGCACAACATCTGAATCAGGTAGTTCAAGTGATGATGAGTAAAACTAATCAGAAAATGTTTCATTGTTATTTCATTAACAAGCCAATGATGAAATGTGTTGAGATTTTAGATGTTTTTCACCTTTTAGGTGATCTCCAAGAAGTGATTATCTCCGTTATGTGTACTTACTGTTTCCTAGACATTATCAGAATGATTGATAATAAACTTAATAGTTGCTTTAAAATTATGTTGAATAATATCATTATGTTGAATTATAATATACACAGTGTGTGTGTTTAGTGTGTGGTTTTTAGCATACCCTATGTCGCTAACAGGAAGCAGGACACTTTGATTAAACACAAGAGAGTGCTATGCTACGATGTTCCTGCTTGCCTTTCAACTCACTCGGTCAGTTTGTCATGTTGGTACCAACCTTTACATTCTTCGATGGTTTGAACACCACTATAGCCAGAGCGGTCGACCTTTAAGCGCTACCTGCTGTACGCACTACTCTGCCCTTGTTGGTAAAGGGATGGTGAACAAACCCTCGATGAATGTATTAGCAATTGTCAAATAAGTCGTTGGTTAATGTTGTCTCCCCTTTGCCCATTTGTCATTTCTCCTCAGCCAGAGCCAGCGGGAGGCTTCCTCTGCTGCAGATCCAACTGCTCTGTTCGCTCTCTTGAGCCATGAGGGTGGGAGTCCTACATTTTTGAACATTCGGTTGAGAGATGTTGATGGAAATCCTCTACAACCTACTTCAACGGGATAGTAATGAACTTTCCACCCTTTGGCCTCTATCTCCTCAACCAGATCTTGGTACTTAGCGCTTTTGAGTTGGTGTGCTACCTCAATTCGATCTTCCCAAGGTACTGTCAGTTCTATCATGACAGCAATTCTTTTATCCTCTGAGAATAAAAGCATATCTGGTCTTTGGTTTGTTGTCGTGATACTGCTGGGAAATGTGAGTCTTTGGTGTAGATCTACTCTCAGCTCCCAGTCCTGTGCTTGTTGTAAGATGCCATATCTTCCTCGAGAGGTGTGCCTGCTACCGCTAGGCAAAACCTTCCCTTTAGGATTTGCGTTGGCACCCACAAAATGTTTCTCTAAGGGTTGCAACATATCTGCCCTTGGTCCTGGTGTTACAGTTGCATTCGTTTTGTTCATGATCCGTGATTGGTCCACCCAGTGAGAAATCTTTTGAAGAACTTTGTCATGCCTCCATGTGTACCTTCCCTCTGCAAGTGCAGCCTTGCACGAACTCAGGATGTGTTGGATGTTACTTCTCAGAGCTCCACAGTGGATACATGATGCATCTTCATTAAGACCCCAGGTAGTGAGATTGGCAGGAGATGGTAAAAGATCAGATATTGCTCTTAATAAGAAGCTTATCTTGCCCTGCTCCATATCCCATATGTCTTTCCATGAGAGCTGTCGATCGAGTGTAGACTCCCAGTGGGTCCATGCACCTTGTTTGACTAATTGTGCTAACCTCACCTGTCTACCCTCTTCCTCTGATTGCCTTATCTGCTGTACTACAAGCTTCCTTCTTGTCTCTGTGTTGGCATCTTTCCACCTGGATGTGCCATAGTTTCCAAGGCCCATCCTACCTTTGCAAACGACACCTACTATGTCCTTATGACGGAGTTGGCTTTCAGCAATACCGATTGCCTGTTGAGGATTCCATCCCCTCCCGCTCGATATTGTTTCTCCCGAGCTAGTAACTTTATTGTCCTTTGAAGAGCGTAGAGTGGTTACTGCTCTTACTTTGGCTGCTTTGTACTCTTCAAGTACTGAAGTTACCGGGAGGCTGAGCTTGGGAGATTTACTGAATAGAATACCTCTGCTGAATGAAGGTGGTACACCTAGCCATTTCCTAAGGAACCTTGATGACATTCTCTCCATTTGCTCAACCTTGCCCATAGGGAAGTCATAAAGCAGAAACGGCCATTGTAGTCTTGAGATAATTCCATGCTGGAACGCCCATGCCTTGAACTTGCCCTGGAGCTGGCATTTGTCAATCGCTCCGAGCCATCTCTTGAGCTCACACACAACATTGTTCGTATTGTTGATGTCGTTCAAGGAATCATCATAGTGTTTACCGAGGCATTTAATGGGCTGTTCACTGACAGTAGGAATTCTCTCTCCCTGGATAGTGAATGTGTTCGATTCTACTTTCCCCTTGATGATAACGAGGCTTCTGGATTTAGCTGGTTTGAACTTCATCCTAGCCCAGGTGGCCATTTTATCAAGCCCCTGTAACACCCATCTTGTTCCAGTCATAGTTGGTGTCATGACAGTTATGTCATCCATGAATGCTCGACAAGGAGGATGGCGTTCTCCTGAGTCTGCAACTGGGCCTCTACATTCTTTCTCTGCCGCAGTGAGGATGACATTCATGGCTGCCACAAATAGCACCACTGAGACTGTGCACCCAGCCATTATGCCCTTCTCTAGCCTTTGCCATTTGGTGGTATAGTCTTCTACTGTAAACCGCATCTTAAGAGTGTCAAAATGATGCATGAGGAGACTGATGACTTCATCTGGGACATGATAGTGGGTCAGTGCTGTCTTTATAAGCTGGTGTGGGACACTCGGATAGGCCTTGGCTAGGTCAAGCCAAACGACTGCTAGGGTTTTCCTCCGTTGTTTTGCTTCTTTAATCAGTTGTGTGATGGCTGCAGTGTGTTCTAAACAGCCAGAGTAACCAGGTATTCCTCCCTTCTGGACACTTGGGTTAAGATATTTATTCTCCAGTAAGAAAGATGTCAGTCTTCTGGCGATGACTGTCCAAAATATCTTACCCTCTACATCCAGCAGTGAGATTTCCCTGAACTGGTCTAGTTTCACTGAGTTTTCCTCTTTCGGTACAAAACAGCCTTCTGCTAATGCCCATGCTTTTGGAATGGTTTTGTTTCTCCAAA